GAGAGGNGTTTTACCAAGACACCCTGGAAAGTATTAGGGTCAGGCCAGAGCACAGGACTTTCTGTTAGGGAAAGGAGAGTGTGTGTGAAAATGGATGGAAAAGTGAATGAAAATTTGTTGTTGTTTTTGCTTTTGTCCTGTGAAAGCAAAAAAGCAAAGGGCATTGTGCGTGGAAAAGAGTAGAGGTGCTGGTACTAACCGCAGAGAGGCAAAGGTCCTCACAGATTACCTTTTTGATTGGCAAAACCCAGGTGATTCCCTGAGAGAAGGGGCCGAATACTTCATGAAGGAATCGAAGTCCTTCCCAGAATCTTTTTCCCCCTAAAACTTACGGTGGTCACCTGGCTAGGCCAAAGTGAGCCCTAAATGTAAAGGGTCATGGGAAGTGTTAGCTCGCAGGTGGCTAGAAGTGCCCTCGGAGATTTCCTTAGATGCCAGGATTTTGGCTGAAATGAGTAAAAAGAGAGAAAGGAAATCATGTGGCAAATGAGCTTTGCTGAGGGATGATACAGAAAAACTAATTTGGCTGCATTAAGGTACTTAAAAGAAAAGATAAAATTTTGGAGTTTCTGTTTTTGTCTTTTGTCTCTTTCTCTGTCTTCTATGCAGCCATATGCTTTGTTTGTTAAGATTTGTGCCTTCCCTAATTTAACAGATTTGTGCTGGGAACAACTAAGGTTTGTAAACCTAAGAATTCTCCCCCCCTCCCTTATTTTCTCCTTGTCCTTGTGTATAAGTGTATTTAAGTCTTTGTGCAACTCCGAGGTAATTGTAACTCTAAAATGTCTCTAATCCAAAAAGACAAGAATTTAAAATTGTCCAAAGAATGAAAAGAGTAAACTGGCAGAAATTGCCTTCGCTCCATTTGTTGGGTCCAGAAAACTGAGTGAAAGGGTGTGGGGGGGAGCCTTTGCTCTGTTTGTTTGGCCAACAAAAGCAGAGTAAAGAGAAGTATTCTTTCTTCCTTCCCTTCCTGTACCTTAAAGAAACAACTGAATGTTATGTGGGAATGTTTTAAGCTCATTTACAAGAAAAGGTTCGCCCTTGCATTTACCATATGTGTTTAAATGACTTCATCTGTTCATCTCTTTCCTGAAGCATGTGAATCCAAACCCCATTTCTCATCTGTGATAT